ACATTAAATTCTTTTCTCTTCAGAATGGTACCAAAAATTAAACAATATAAATTATGTAAATGTTCATTCTTTATGAATTTTAGTTGCTTTGAAGTTAATACAACCATTGTAATACGATCATTTTTCTGGGGGAAAAAAAAACTTGGTTTTAAATCACTTTTTAATCTCTGACTAATTTAAAAAATCAGTACACAAATTATAAAATCTCCCATGCATTAGCCAAATCATAAAAATATTAAGAGTAGAACTATAATATCATTCAAATATATTTATTTGCATTTAATGATATTATAATAACTCAGCTCTTTGGGTACAAGTTATGAGTACAATAATGAAATATTTTCCTTTACATTTGTAGAGCACTTTTGATTAAAAAAGAAAATTTTTTTCTTTTTTCTTTTTTCAGGGAATTTAAATTCCCTGAACAGTTGGAGGGGGGATATTGACCAACTCACACTCAAATGTATTAAAAATATCTATGCTAGAATTTTAATAACATTTTAAAAACAAACTTTCAGTCAATAGGTATTGAGTCAATCCCTTTCAGAAGTTGAGTAAGTAGTTGGAACTTTGGGGAAACACGATTATAATACACCTTCTCTCATCTTCCTGGAAGTTTAGTTTCATTAAAATAAACTGGATTCACAACTGGGGCTCACATATGCATATCTTAAAGAATGGCTGCACGCTGGTCTGGAGTTCTTTATTATCTTCTGGATAAGCACTCATATTCAAGAAAGTGGAAGGCAAGGACACAAGGTTGGTCCAGTAAACAGAAGTCAACAGTTTAAAGACCATTTTGATTTAGATCAAAGATAGCATGGCATTGATGTATCTGTTTTATCCCCGGCCTAGGACTCAGGTACCCTTCTGATTTCTACAGAGAAAAAAGGAATACATAAAACTAAAGGGGATTTTTCTCGAATAAAGTGTCACTCTATAAGATAAACTTAGAATAACTATATGTGACCTAGGCTGTGTCTCTCAAGGAATGGGAAGGAATTCAGCTGAGAAACTGAATGAGTAGATGGAACCAGGCCTTCCTTCTCAGATATTTTTAAAATGGAAATTAGTTTTTTGAAATGAAAATTCCTCAGGCCATTCAAAATGGGTGAAGAAAATGTGAAACATATGTACACACACACACACACACACACACATTGGAATATTACTCTGCCATAAAAACAAATGACGTTTTTCACAACAACATGGATGGACCTAGAGGGTATTATGTTAAGTGAAATAAGACAGACAAGGACAAATATCAAATGATTTCACTAATATATAGAATCTAAAAAGCAAAATAAGTGAACAAACAAACAAAAACAGAATCATAAATACAAATAGCAAACAGGTGGTTTTGAGGGAGGGGCTAGAAAGCGGGATGAGTGAAATAGGTGAAGGGGACTTAGAAGTACAAACAGAGAATATGGTCAATAACATTGTAATATTTATGTATGGTGACAGATGGTAACTACACTTACCATGGTGGGTACTTTATAACACAGACAATTGTCAAATCAGTATGCTGTACACTTGAAACTAATATAACATTGTATGTCAACTATACTTATGTTAAAAGGAGGAAAATAAATTAGAATCTCAAGGACTTTTAAAGTACTGAGAATATTAAGCTGTCTTAAAAAGTGAACATCTTCCTAAATTTTGTGAAGACTGAATTTTTTAAAAATTTTTATTAAGTTTATTTATTTATTTTGAGAGAGACAGAGACAGCACCAGTGGGGAAGGAGCAGAGACAGAGAGAGGGAGAGAGAAAATCCCAAGCAGGCTCCACACTGCCAGCACAGAGCCCAACATGGGTCTTGAACCCACAAAATCGCAAGATCACGAACTTAGACAAAACCAAGAGTTGGATGCTTAACCAACTGAGCCTCCCAGGCACCCTGACTGATTATATTTTAAACTACAAGTTTATTTTTTAATATAGATTGATTAAGTAATTTTGGTTCTCTTAAATTCCTCAGTCTTGGTTTACTTTATACACTAGATTAAACAAGCTTGAGAATTATAGACACTAAAAAACGAAAAAGAATAAATAAAAGGAGAACAAAATGAGAAGAAGCCAAGCAGGGAAAAAATAGAGACTTTTAGCAAAATTGAAAGTATTCGCAAGGGAGCCCCTGCACCAATGTAAATTACGAGTAGAGTAGTCTGAAAGATGATTATGGGCAACATAATACTTAAACATTATTTCATTCCAGTCCTTAGAAAGAAATGAAGTAAACTAGCTAAGGTCACAATAGCCAATGGCAAATGGTGTTGCTGGGACATTCAGGCTTAAATCTATCTGACAGGAAACATAAGTACTTATTACTACTTCTACAGAATTCATGTGCTCTTAATGTTGTATTTGTTGCATCTCTGATATCATGTTAGATGTTGAGAAATCCAGTACATAAGAAATACAGTTCCCTCATTGCTATATAATTCCCTCAAAACTGTACAAATTCTGGTTTAGGAGATAGTGTAGTATTTTCTTCTTTATTCCCATTCTTATGAGATATGTGAATTAGGAGCCTACCAGTTTTTAGGCACTTAGAATATAAAATCCTGACACTTGTCCAAGAGCTTTTCAGACATTGGAGATATAAATTATTTGTAGTGAGAGTGTAGCAATCTGAGAGAAAATTAGATTAATGTGATGAGGGGTCAGAGGAAGGAAACTCATATTAATCCAACACATATTATGGGTCAGACCTTCTGCATAGCCTGGAAATATATACCAAGCAAAACAGTCAGAAAATAGTTTCAAATTCCAAAAAACACAATTTATAAAAAGATCAATCTTTGCAACACATATTTAAACACATGCCAAATTTGATTAGAAAAAATATGTTACATGAAATTGGTAGAAGAAAAGATTGTGTCTATCCGTCAGATTTTCCTAATGTAAAAAAATTTTCATTATGTTAAAAATAGTTTATGTTTAATGTTTTGATTTTGGAAATGTATGCTAAATTTTACTCTTACTCTTCACTTTAGTAATAGGAATAGTGAGAAGAGTAGAATAGTTGCAGTAGAAAATTTGACCATCTGCATTCATTAAAATGGGACTCCATATGCAAGTAGGATTGTAATTTAGTATAAATAAAGCAAAACACTCTTGCATTTCACTATGCATCCCTAAAAGGAAAAAGATTTAAAATATCCTCAAGCACACTTTCCAGTGTTTCTCATAATATATAGAAATAACCCAAATAAAATTTTGCCTTATATGTGTTCATATTATTAGGATGCTCCTCTAATTATTAGCTCCATCTCTAGCTATGTTGTAAGACCCTAAAGAGATGTTATGTTCTGACTGCATATGTATCAATTCTATAATTGTGCAATGTAATCTTGAACGTCAATTATAAATACAACCCCAGAAATACACATAGCACTTACAGCATTTAGACAAAGTTAAACTCTTGGCCTGGTAGGTATCTTACCATAATGAAATAATTTACTGGTTGCAGGGGAAAAGAAATACCCCCGAACTGTACACTATTAACCTGATTAGTGTAATAGACACAGAAAATTTGCTGCAAATAATTCCATCTTTAGTGCATTTGGAAAAAAAAAAGCAAATTTCAGAATAGTGTATTAAATACAATAATGCATAATAGGAAATGGGGTAAATAAAAGCAAGTTTTATGTGTTAAATTATTGATTAGTGATAATTCATCAATAACTTGAAAATAAAAAAGGAATAGTTGTTACTCATAACACTCACTGCCAATTAAATGAGGTTGTATCCTTATCAAGTGTATAAAAATATTTTTAGGTACCATCTCAAGTGGTACCATTTTTGGTTAATATGCTGATTTCTTCTGTATCTGAACTATTACAGTGCTTATCGTCAAATGTAAAAATTATGACTTTGATACAAACAATTTTAAAATATGCTGTATTTTCAACAAGTTCTACTTATTTTCCATAAAACATGCAATAACTGTGACAGGCCATTACATTTTTTAATCACTTTATTGCTGAGTACACAATAGACACTCTGAAAGTAATGGTCAATTGCTTGAAAAATATGCTAACCTCTTTGAAAACATACTTGACTGTGCAAATGACAGTTTATATGTAATGTCTGACTATGAGCCACAAGTCTGATTTATTAATCCCCCTTTTTTTCCTCATGAAAGTTGAATTTCATAATCTTTCATAATTCTTACAGCTCCAATTCTTAGATAAGATAATTTCCAATTTAATACAAGAGAAATATACACAAGAATCAATAATGACTCATATAACATATCTGGAGCATTTCCACCTCATTCACTTGAGAAACAGAACGTATTAGTTAGGTTCAAATTCACTAACATTGCGAAGCAATACTTTAAAAGTTTTCCAAATAGATTATCAAGATACACAGTACCTGAAATTGTGATATTATCCAGCATTTAAGCCACTTCTATGGAACTTTGGAGTGACGTCATTCGAAGTTAATACTTTTCCTCCTCTTGTAAGTACACACAAAGATGGAGCACAATAACGTATTTCTCAAAGGGTAGACCTCAAACATTTTATTTAAACTTACTGTATACTTCCTAATACGGTTTATATTAATTTCTTATGGACATTTTTATAGTAATTTCCATATAGACGTGGTGTAAGAATGTCATTATAATATATTGAATAGATTTCTAGAAGAGTGGTTCTTTCATCATGCTGAGTTCAAATGTCAGCATTTTGTAAAAGCCTAATAAGAAGACTCTAATGACAGCTTGCAAAAATATTAACTGCAAAATTGATTTAAAAATGCAACTGATCTTTTAAAATTCACTTCCTTATTAGGCATACAAAGAAATGCATGACAGGAAACTCATTACTAATGTTGGTAAATAAAATTTCATCAAGTAGATGAGACAAGGTAAATCATGTGTGTATTTGTTGTATAACATAAATGTGTTTTAGTTTTTATGATTTCCCATGGCTTCCTGTCTAAATTAGGAGGAATCCAAAAACTGATCATTCATTTTAGCACTTACCTCATATGTGTGATGATGAGTGTTGTCATGGGGATAAAAAAATCATCCACTCGGTCAAACTGCTTTCCCACAGGCTGGGTGTGAATAGTGTGGTGGGGAACATTCCCACTGGCCAGGGTTATTACCTAAACAGAAAACGCCATGGTTAGACTTTGGCAGTGCATTCCCTTAATAGTATCAGTGTTAACTTTATTTAGAGATGAAACAAATCAGCAGTTGTTTCTTAGATTCTTTATTGCCATCCTGAAAATTAGTACATCATTAAGCAAATTGGAATTTTGTAATTGTTTGTTTATTTTTAACATAGAAATTTGTTTTTATAAAGAAAAAAACAGAAAAAGATTTGTCTTGAATAATTTCTGCTTAAATTATAAAATTATTAATTTTTTTTAACATTTATTTATTTTTGAGACAGAGAGAGACAGAGCATGAATGGGGGAGGGTCAGAGAGAGAGGGAGACACAGAATCTGAAACAGGCTCCAGGCTCTGAGCAGTCAGCACACAGCCCTACGCGGGGCTCGAACTCACATACCGCGAGATCGTGACCTGAGCCGAAGTCGGACGCTTAACCGACTGAGCCACCCAGGCACCCCTAAATTATAAAATTATTATAAACAAGTTCTGTGTTATAAACATGTTAACCTTGCTACAATGAGAAAAATAAAAACAAGCACACATATGATGTAAATGAGATTATTAGCTTTCCTTCCTTCCTTCCTTCCTTCCTTCCTTCCTTCCTTCCTTCCTTCAGTTTTGTTAAGGTATAGCTGATGAACAGAAAACTTTTAATATAGAACAGAGCTGGAAATAAAACTGAAAACTCTAAAACAAATCATACATAATATTTTAGCGCTTAATAACGTCAGAATAGATGAAATTATATTTAACTTTTTCCTCCTATACATTGAAAATAACAGGTTCAAGTAAGTTTTTATCAAAGACTTTTCCTCTTTTTATTCATTGTTAATTGGTTTTTAAAACTTTTATAGTCCATTCAAGAAAAGATGACTACATTTAAACTCTTTTGTTCCTCATATCCCATTATGCACCAAATTCTATCAGTTCTTTCTTCAGATTTCTCACACCTCCATATGCTTTCCTGTTCCTGCTGGACAGTCATTGCTCTGTGTTAGCCTTTTAAAGCACTTTCTGCCTTTATTTCTCCCCTTTTAAATCCTTTCTACATATGGCCACCAAATTAAACTTCTTAAACTATTGACTGACTCTCCTAAGTTAAGTAGACTTTCCCCCCTTAAAACTGAGTCTTTTCCTTTGGTTTATATGACAAAAGTAAATAGCATTTTTGATTTTTTTTCTCCGAGAAACTAAGTTTTCTTCATTTCTTCATTTCTTCAGGCTGATCGCAGCAATAATAACATTATGGAGAGCTTGCTATATACCAGTATGTGTTCTAAGCAGTTTACAGGCATCACATAACTTAATAGTCAAACAACACTATAATGTATCCCAACATTACTGATGAAAATTATTTTATGCCAATGAAGCATAACTGAGCATCTCATTTGTGTTTGGCATAGTCCTAGGTTGTAAAAATACAGTGCCTCCCTCTCTGTTCAGCATAATGCTCTCCAGTTCCATCCACATTGTTACAAATGGTAAGATTTCATTTTTTTGATTGCTGAGTAATATTCCATTATATATATATATATATACATATATATATATATGTATATATATATATATATATATATATACCACATCATCTTAACCATTCATCATCAGTTGATGGACATTGGACTTTTTCCATAATTTGCCTATTGTTGATAGCACTTCTGTAAACATTACGGTACATGTGCCCCTTCAAATCAGCTTTTTTCTATCCTTTGGATAAATTTCTGGTAGTGCAAATGCTGGATGTACAGTAGCTCTCTTTTTAAGTTTTTGAGGAATGTCCATACTGTTTTCCAGAGTGGCTGCACCAGTTTGCATTCCCACCAACAGCGTAATAAGGTTCCCCTTTCCCTACATCCTCAAAACCATAAGACACTCTTAAATATAGAGAACAAACTGAGGGTTGAAGGGATAGTGGGGGTGGTGGGGTGGGTTAAATGGGTGATAGGCATTAAGGGGGGGTGCTCTTCAAGATGAGCACTGGGTATTATATGTAAGAGATGAATCACTGGGTTCTACTCCTGAAGCCTAGAAGACTATACTGTATGTTAACTAACTTTTCCCTAGTTCTTAGTCTGGATTTTGTTTCCTGATGGTTCTAGATCCTTCTCATTGCTGCAATTGAATGGGAAGAGGTGGATTACCAGATATCAGGACTGAGCTGACTAACTGCCAGGACACACAAATTGATCCACAATGCACCTTAATCAACAGGCCAGATCTTGGGACAATCCTTGGCTCATTCCTAATGGCATCCTGCTGCTTGTTTCTCTATCTGTAATAACCTACAGCTGCCAACTCCCACTGTCACCCCATCTGGCAGGAGCCTACTTCCTGGCCAATAGCAAGACGTAAAGACTTTATTCCAAGTTGTTTCCTGGGGACATTTCCTCTCTAATTATTGTGCATTTGAAAAGATAACATATGGATTGTAAATCTGTGTAGATGACAGACTCATGACTTTCAGAACAGCATTTCCTAAATTTTCATAAGGCATAGTTTCCTTTTAAAAAAAAATAACGAGGGGCGCCTAGGTGGCTCAGTCGGTTAAGCGTCCGACTTTGGCTCAGGTCATGAGTTCGAGCCCCACATCGGGTTCTGTGCTGACAGCACAGAGCCTGGAGCCTGCTTCAGATTCTGTCTCCCTCTCTCTCTCTGCCCCTCCCCTGCTCACGCTCTGTCTCTGTCTCTGTCTCTCTCAAAAATAAATAAACATTAAAAAATTTTTAAAAAATAATAAAAAATAAAAAAATAACGATAATAAATCTTTGATAATTCATCTGAGAATACTAATTGGAAAAGCACTGTCTTATGTACCTATAGTTATGAAATTTATTAGTTGTTATTAATTAATTATAAATATCACAGAAAATATATTTTGCTTCCATAATTGGTAAAGTTGTATAGATTTAATTATAGTCAAATGAAAACACAAAGTATAAGTATATATATGAGTTTCAGATATTTTATAAAAATGCTTTCGCACCTTCAAGCTTTCAGTGGCCACTATTATAAGATATATTGCATTAGGGCAAAAAGTTATTGCCTAGCCATCACAACCTGACATCAATATCTCTAGTTCTAGTCTAATCTTTCAACATGCCACAGGAACACTCTAGGAAAAATCAGACCTTGCCCATATTTTTGGTTTGGTGAATTCAGTTTCTCCAAAGGTAAGTCTGTTCCCCTTTGAAACAAATCTTAAATCCCATTTCCTTTGCAGATGTTTCCTGATAATCTTGTTGGAAGACAATTAACCATTAATCTGTTGACATTTCTGCTGAGTCAAGTCTTTCTGAGCAGAGGGCACTGGCAGAGTTGGTTAAAGGATGACAGGGTAGCAAAAAGGCCTTGGAAGCTAAAGGTGGTGTATTGCTCCAGAGAGAGGTAGAGACTTAACTCCTTTGAGCCTTACTGACATTCCAGGGCACCGTCCTGATAAGATTTGCATCCCAGAGTAATAATAATGTCTATCTTTCACAGGAGAGGATGGGCTATTGTGCCAGCAGTCTTAAAAAAAACTTGGAGACACATAATTGCAGGGTCCTTCTCTTGTTAGTGCAACTGTGCTGAGGCAGGGTAATATTAATCTCTCATGGCATCACCCCATGGGAATGGGGTTGGAGAATTAACACAAATATGCTCCTTGAGTATGAAATGGTCTGTTCTATGATCCAGAGACTCTGTGTTTCCTGTCAGCCTGTCTATCAATCTATCTAATCTATCACAGATTTATATAGATGTATGTGCATGTGTGTAAATTTTACTTCATGCAAATAAATCTTATGGTATGTACTATTTCAATAGTACTTTTGAATTCTTACATATTGTATTATATTTTCAGGTGTGGAACTTACTTTTCCCTCCATCCAGCAAGTACTTAAAAAAATCATTAAATCTTACTAGCATATTTTTTATTGGACATCCAGAGAAAAAGAACCCATTTTTTAACGGCTGGATAATGTGTGGGAAGTTACTTAACACCTTTATAAAGCCTTTCCCCCCCTTTCTGTATGATATTAAAGGAGTTTGCCTAAAGTGCCTTATGGAAGGATTGCAACACTGAGGATTGCAACATTAATCTATCCAAGTAGCAAATACCAATAGGGAGGGGAAGAAATCAGTTCTAAAGAATATAGTAGAATGAAAATATATACAGCTTGTAGGGTGCCTGGGTGGCTCAGTTGGTTAAGTGTCTGACTTTGGCTCAGGTCATGATCTCATGGTTCATGAATTGGAGCCCCACATCAAGCTCTCTGCTGTTAGCACAGAGCCCACTTTGGATCCTCTGTCCTCCCTTTCTCTCTGCCCTCCTCCACTTACTATCTTTCTTTCCCACTCTCAAAATTAATAAATAAGTTTTAAAGAAAGTATAAAAATAAATAAAAAAAGAAAATATATACTGCTTTAAAAGAAAAAATTAACTTTTATAAGCTGTGTTTATTTTATTTTTAAGGTAATAGAATTAAAATAATTCATAAGAATGGTTTTTTAAAAAATAATATATATTGGCCTGTTTTATCTTGTCAAGATTTAAGAGTAAAATATCAAATAACTAGACGATATTACCATATTGTCATAGATCAGTCAAGCAGTTGTCCACAATGAACACTGTAGTCTTTCCATCAAAAGATTGGCCTTGTTACTTCATGTTCTTGAATCTAGGCAAGGAGTATGCCTTGCTTTGATCAATAAGCTGTAGTAGAAGTGACTTTATGTGAATTCTAAGACCTAGATCTTAATTAGCCTTGCAATTTCCACTGTCTTATAACCTGGAACCACCATGTTGCCAGATGCCAGTCTAAAGGATGAGCAGGCACATGCTAGAGACACAAGCCGCCCAGCTAATCACCACCATCACATAACAAACGTGGGAGTGAGACTATTTTGAACCATCCAGCTACTGTAATCAGATGAGTGCAGCCACCTGAGTGTTTCTTAATCATGCCCACAAACTGCCCAGATTGCTGCACCACAGAACTATGAGTAATAAGTCATTATTATTATTTTTTATGTTTATTTCCCTTTGAGTGAGAGAAAGAGACAGAGCATGAGCAGGTGAGGGGCAGAGAGAGGGAGGCACAGGATCCAAAGCAGGCTCAAACCCACAAACTGCAAGATCATGACCTGAGCCAGAGTTGGGTGCTTAACCGACTGCACCACCCAGGCGCCCCTTAAGTCATTCTTTAATTCTGTTTAACACATCAAATTTTGGGGTGATTTCATTCGCTACAGCAAATAACTGAATAACTATTACATGTTAGATGTTACTTATGACACATATTTCTAGTGAAATATAAAATGAACCATCATTCTCATAGTTCCTTTAAAATCATTTCAGTAAACTTGCCTCTTGTAAGTTAAATATTGTAAAACTAAAAATACTTCAGAATCATTTAAAGTATTGGTAGTGACAACTGACAAAAAGTAAAAAAAAAAAAACCAACAAAACAAAAAAAAATTGCATGTAAGACTTAGTGAAAACTGGCCAAAGTTAATGATTTAGGACTTTATAAGAAGAGGAATCTTCACAGCAGTGCTATAATCAAGGCAGTTTGAGAAATAGATAAAAACACATTTCCAGGGCCAAATGTTCTTTCTCATTCCCTCTCAGTTTTCTGTTAAACTTGTAACTCCAAAAATTGAAAGACTGTGCCAAAGAGACATTGTCAAAATATATATTTTTTTCTCTACTAAGTTCTGTATAAACAACTTTAAAATGTAAGCAAATTCCACAAAGATTCTACCACTTATTCCCCAGTTAGAAACGAGTCTGTGCTCATATAATAACACACTATCTTTCTGGAAAAATTGGAGATGTGTCTTGAGACTGTCCAACTCTCTTAGTCTCTATCTCCATGCCACGTTTTGAAAGAGAGATGGAAACAAAATAAATCTCATGCAAATTGCAGGGAGGAAGGTAATTGCTGAAAGGTAAGTTATGATTTTTTTCTTCCTAATGGCATCAGTTTTGTCATCATCGGTTATTATTTTTGTGTATAAATCTAACCTTTGATAAGTATGACCTACAGTATTTTCCAATCCAAACAAGTACTTGTATTATCTCCCCCTGCCTTTTCTATGCAGATCTAGATGTGATTAAAGTACAGTCCTCAGATGGAAGAATATCATTGCTAAATACTTATAAATATCCAGTGATATATCTAAAGGTTTAAAAATCATTGTTTTCTCAAATATACTGAAATGTACTTACTTGCAATGTTGGAGAAGTCTTTTCCATGGTACCCCAGCTTAACACCCATACCTGGTCATGTGATTTGTCGTAGTGTAATTTAACTGGCACAGGGTCTGTGCTTACTGCCTGTAATAAATAGGAGTTGAAAAAAATGTTTTCAGACTGAAATATTCATTTAAAACTATGCCAAAAATTATGAAATAACACAAGAGTTTAGATGTCAGATTAAAATTTTATGTTGCAAATTATCTAATTTTCTAAACCTTCATTTGATTAATTTGGAAATATGATACTTTACCCAAGCATATTTTTTGAATAATTTTTTGCCCATATTTTTATGTAGTCTTAAGTTCCTTCATTACCTATGCAAATTGTGTGTCGTAGAGAAGCTATTTAGAAACTCAAGATATATAAATGATTAATATGTGTATTTTATTCAATTGTTGAACACACGTAAGAACTATGTTTATACTATTAGTTTTTTTTTTTTTTCATTCTAGTGCTGGTTATGGGATTTCGCCATCTATAATGCTAAAATGCCTGCAATCTGATATATGGTTGTAACTCTAATGACAGATTACCTAATTTAGTTTCCTTAATGAATAATCTAATACTACAGAAAGAAGTAAAAGCATTATTTTAACATATTGATGTGGTAAATGTGTTTTTCTGCTAATATTTATAATATTTAGCAATTACTTAAAACAAAACTTCCAGAAAACAAATTGCTGCCAGGAAGTTATTTCACTCACCTTAATTTCAAGCTATTTATATTTCAAGCTAACACCTTTTTCAAGTAATTTCCTGTAGTAGTTTCCTTACATATTTTTTTTTCTGATCATATAGCATTAAACAAATTGTATTCAATAAAACTACCTTTATTCAATATAGAAAGCATTTCTTCCAAAAGCTCTGTTCAATATCCCTAGAGAATTTCCCAATTCTTAGTTCATAATGCAATCCTCTTCTCAGTGGATTAAAGGTAAACTACTGTTGGTTGAACATGTGAAGGTTCATGCTTTAGTTAACATGTTGGTTCATGCTTTAGTTAACATGTTGGCAATTTAGTCTTACCAAAGTAACTATTTTCTAAAACCTTGTTCTGCATTTTATCTATTTAAAATTCTCAATACTCTTGGATTACTGCAGTAATTATTTAATTTCTAAAAACACCTATTTAAAGATTTCTGTATTAGTGCCCTTGTCACTTTCTTCCTGACTAACAGAGCCACTATGTTGCTTTGGGATTAGGTGGCCATCAATGTTCTCAGGGGAGGTAGCCCACTTGGTGAGCATCAGAGATTCAAGCCTACTTCCCTTTTTTTTTTTCTTTTAGGGATTCCATCTTTATTATTCCCCTTTTACACAAAACCAAGTAGAAGAAATAATACAAGATTAAAACTGCAAACGTAGCTAATTGGTAGAACACATATACACAAAAAAATCCAGACAGCAAGACAGGCTTATCTACAATGGGAAACACATGTAAAAATTAAGGTAGTTTGTAGTTTTCATATGGAACATTAAAAAAAAAATCAAACATTATGCTACTATGGATGCCATTGTTTACAGTAATATTGAAGGGGAGAAAACAACACTTATTTAGGGTCCCTTTCACAAGTGTGAAGATTCCCAGCCTCTCTAGAGGCTAGAGTGGTCACATAGAATATTCCCCTTTATACATGGTAAAGATTAATGTGATGAATGATTTTTGAGAATGCTACTGTGCCACACTTTCTCTTTCTTCATGCTTTGGATGCTCTCATATGAGAACAGTAAACCTTAATTTCCAAAGTCATTTTGAGGCCATGAAACAATAAGCTTAAGAAAGAAAACCCAAGCAACACTTGGAGGATTTGGCAAGAGATAAATGACAGGAGACTGAATTCTCCGTAACAACCTTGAGTTGCTACACAAACCTAGAATAACTGTCTCTAGACTTGATGTTATTTGGGATAATTAAATGGCTTTTTTACTTAAGAAATAGTCTGGTATTTTGTTCATTGTAATCAAGTGAATGCCAGATGTTTCATTTAAATTCTTTATGTCCTCATTGACAATTTCATTGCATATACAGCAAAAGTGCCATCATTAATCATTACGCTAATAACAAAGCAATAAGATTCTTTTGTTTTTCATATCGTAATATTGTATTATTTGTATAATTTGATCTATGTGTGATTATAATGTTACCCTATTTTGCATGCAGCTTAAAATGGAATAATCTACAATGTAAAGATAAAGTAGTTCAATACAACAACAAAAGCAACATTAAGAAAAGGCTCTTTGTTTTTCAACTGTTAAGACACAGTTAAACAAAGATCAAAGATGTTTAGATAACTTTAAATATTAAGGAACAATTTAAATGAAAATTTCCATTTTGCCAGCTCTCATAAGGTTCAGTCCATGGGTTATGTTAATATCCACATAAAACAGGATAAGAAATGGAGACTCGGTCTTACCAGTAGTCATCTAGCAGGTGATCAGAAGAGCTGAGATTTGATAGTCTGTGTTTATCCCCAATGTGGCAACCTCCTTGCACATGAAAGATCATCCTTCTTAACTGATAGTTTAATTCCTGACAGTGCGTATGTGGATATGGTGCACTTCTATTTATGCTTCATGTATAGGAAACATTCTTTGGGGTTTTTTTTTTGTTTGTTCGTTTTGTTTTTTGTTTTTATTTTTGTTTTTTTTTCTTTTATGGAAGGTGGAAGGAAACCCACAGACCCCAATACATGCAGTATTATCTGTATAGACAGTGCAAACGAAGCCAAGAATCAGTGAGAGGCAGTAGTACCCCATGCTTATGAGCATGCATTCTGAAGCTAACTGCAAGTTTTAGCCTCCTCACTTAAATTAGAAAAATAATAGTACCTTGGGAAGTTACTAAGCTTCTCTGTGTTTCAGTTTCCTCTCTGATAAAATGGAGACAATAATCACACCTACTTCAAAGGGTTGTTCTGAATATTTTGGTAAGGTAGTAAATATAAAGTACTTAGGGTATGCCATGGAAATACTACTACTATCAGAAAAGCTAACCGAACTAGAGGTATTTTCATGACATTTAGCATCATAATATTTTAAAGTTAGAGATATAGTACTCTTATTTAGCAAATGAAGAATCTGAGACCTGGAAGAGAAAGTAAATAAGCACAGTCTTTGTCCTGAAAGAATTTGTAGACAAGAGGATGAAAGAACTTAAAATAACTAGATGTGGCAAAAAATAAAAATAAGAACCAAATGCCATGAAAGCTCAGGGGAAGGAGTAAAAAGCAGGATGAAGGATAGGGGCATGAGGTGATACTTTGATTGAGCTTTTAAGTATGAATATTTTTATAAATGGGAAGAAAGAGACTATTTTATATGGGAAGACAGAGACATAGGAGAATATGTTTCAGGAGACGTCAAAAAGCAGTCCATGAATAATTGCCTTCAAGTAAATTAAGCTATACATATTTGAAGGAGAAAAATATCAATCAATTTTCAAAACAGCTTCAGAGTTAGAAAAATATCTGCTCAATGCTCTCCCAAATTTTTGAACATTTTGCCTTTCAGGATTTCAAAGTTTTGGTATTCAATTCTCTTCAATTTATTTTGGGATTTGGTTATAAAAGCTCACCAGAACTAAAAAAGATATGTGGATCAAAATGAAGAAAAGTACATCTGACATACTTTATTTGGAAAATGTTTAACTCTAGGAGATAAAAATATGTTTACAACATTTCAAGTGTGCAGATATAACACATTTCACAGAGGGAACATTTACATGGTTTTCAGTAACAAATTCATGTAACAATGACAGAAATATTTCCAAACAACCATCTTCAGGCTAATCTTGCCATACCCAATTTTCAGCCAAAAATTGTTATTTTTCTTACTTATATTGTCAACTTTTGAAAGGACTAACTTGCATGTATTGTATTGTATTTCACAAAATACCTGCTTGTATACTCTGGAAATTACTTCAAATGTTGAGTAAGTTTAGACCATTAGCCTTTATAAAAGAGAAAGACACTATATTTGGTACTTAATTTTTTTCTTCCATAATTAAACCTGTAAACTTCGGTGTTATAAAATAGTTTAAATGTTTCTCCACATTTTATGAAAAGGATTGTAAATTTTCTGTTACCCTTTTCTGCCCTCTCTCTCCCATGCCTCTCATTCTCCGGAACAGGATTCCATCTGCCTTTTAAATACTGATCTCTGCAGCATCTCCCCTGCTACCGACAAGAACAGAGACTCTATCCTTTTGACCCTCATCACATGGTTTCTAACATCTAACTTTATACTCACCAACTTTCTCAACAGATTTGTCAGGATGCTTTTGTTTGTTTGTTTGTTTGTTTGTTTTGTAAGCATTAGACAGATCATGACAATAATCTGCTCTAAACACCACAGTGTCTTTTCCTTTCCCTCAGAGTAAAGCCAAAAGTTCTTCGAATGACTACCAGGCCCTAGCTGACCTGCCACTTCCCTCTTCTTTCTCTGACTCCTTCACCTACTCCTCCAATCAAGGTGCTCTTGGCCTCCTGCCATTCATCCAACATGCTCTCCACATGTCTGTATTTTGGAGGACTTTTCCCCTGAACTTATCCACAGATAGCCCAGTGTCTGCTTCCTCAACACCTCCTTTGTTCAGAACTCGCCTTCTCAGGGAGGCCAGTCTGACCACCCTGCTTAATTCTGTTAGCAGCCTTCACTTTGTGCACATCCCCTCATCCTTAGCTTGCCCAATCCCACGTGGCCTTGCACTACCATTTTACCTTTTCTAAAGGACTTACTACCTCAGCATACATTATGCAATTTACATTTTAATATTCCCATCTTTCATTTCTGTTTTCATCCAATGGATTCTAGGTTGTTAGAAAGCAGATTGTTTGTGTTTGTGTAAGTCAATAATATCACCTATGCACTTAGAACAATACCTTGTAAATAGCAGTACTCAACATACAATTAATGGATCTCTAAATCTACTTAATTGGGGAAACAAAATTGCAAAATTAAGGAACATTCCAAAACTTATTACTATCATTATTATTTTTTTATTTAAGAAAGACAATTATACTCTGTGCTATGCTTATTATAAACAAGGTTTTTAAAAATGTTTTACAAATACAATTTCT